AAAAAAAAAGAATGCTAGAACGTGGAATAATACACCGCCATATGTTTTGTCTTTTGTGCATGTGGTGAGTAGAAGCCCTTAGGGCCACACGTATTCCTAAAAAAAGAAAAACGAGAAAAAACAGAAGAAAAATGAGGAAAAAAAAAAAAAACCGGGAAAACAAAAGAAAGAAGAGAAAAAAAAAAGAAAAAAGAAAACAGAGAAGTCGTGACCCATAACTAAGCTGCACAGACTGCCACAGACCTGAATTCGAATCCAGACTATATATTCTCGGGCCACAGAGGTAGTCTCCAAGTCTCTGCTCCACAAAGGGACCTTGCTAATCCATAGGGACCCTTCGAAAATGAGACTGGACGACTAAATTGCAGCATTTGTAAAAAAAAAAAAAAAAAAAGAAGGAAATTCACCCACATGCACATACATGTGCTTACAGTCTTGGGGTATGGGGTGACCCGTACTTTTTTTCTCTCTTGCAGTTTGAATTTCGGGAGGGAAGGGCATGTTTGGCCACCTCACCTTGTTAGTAGGGGTCAATTTTTTTTTTTTCTTCTTGTTTTTAGTGTTTGGGCGCGTAGGGCCACGTGTCCGAGGCCCAACACGCCGGTTCCGTTTTTCAAAATTCAACGGAACACCCCAGTTTTCGCGTTAAACGTGATTTAACGGGGGCCCTCAGGCCCGTTGAACGGGTTCAACAGCGTTGAATTTCGCCCGTTCTCCGTTCATAGGACACACAGGTGAGGGATGGGGAGCGCAGGGTCATCTGCTCCTTCGGGTGCAGGCTCCTCATCCGAGTCATCATCCTTGGGGTACGGACGGAAGATGCAAGCACGTCTCTCGAAAACGGCATCATCAGATGGCGGTGCGGAAGTCCCGATGGGATCGCGCGTAATAAGCGCAACCTGCTGGGCGATCTCCTCCTCCGCCATCCCCTTGCGTATCGGCTCCACCTCGAGTCCTGCCTGACAGTCCTGGCAGTCCAGCATCCCCTCGTCACACTTCCATGGCAGCACGTAACCGCATCCTGCCCGTCGATATTCTATTAACCGTACATTTGCGGTGATCTCGACGAGCTGCGTGACCTTCTCAAAGGCCGACCTGTTGCGCTTCTTCGTGTGGATGCCCTCGTGGACTGCCCAGTTCCTCTTCGCCGGAGGCGCAGGACCACATGTGCATCACACGAAGACCGCACCGCTGCAACTCAGGGGCGCCAGCCCCGTACTGGGACCACTAAGACGCGCACTCGATCATCTCGTGTCTCCGCTACACACGCGCCCACGAGCACGCCCCTCCGCCCCGCCCCAGTCACCAAACCTGCCCTGCTGCATGTGGAAGTCCTCGAACTGGCGGCAGGCAAGGAGGTACTCCGCACCCTCCAACTCGAAACTTATCTCCGTCAGAATGTACCTCTTGGTTTGCCTCACAAGCCAAGCATGATACTCCTCCACCGTGCTAGAAAAATACTGAACATGTCGCCTGCGGGGGTTCAGTAAGAACCCAGCGCAGTGAGCCGGCTCTAGCATGTGCTGCGTGCGGGCCTGCACACGCCTGATGATCCGGTCTGCGTACGAGGACCCCAAAGGAGCGCATGCCTCCTTCACCCGCTGCACAAGATCATGTGCCCACTCGACCATGAGCGACATGAATTGCTCTCCACGACCCATCCGCCGGAGCAACTGCATCACGGGCTCCATGATATGGACGATGGTGGCCACCCTCTGCCACCAAGGATCCCATTTGATCTGTCGGCGCAGCCACCGCGCCATGTAGCAAATATTGACATACCACGAGATGGAAGCAAAAGCCTGCGAGTCATCCCCTCGCATCATGTCCTGCAAAGTGTCCTGCAGGGCCATGAGCCTCTCCAACATGGAGTACAAAGGCGCAAACCGCGTCTCGCATGAAAGAACAAGTCCCAGGTTGGGGTTGCGCTTCCGAAAAAAATGAAGGGCTGCCTGGTGGGTTTTGAAAAACACCATTAGCACACGAGCGCGTGTGATAGTATCAATAGACGCGTCACAACACGTCCCCTTGTCTGATAACAATTTGTTGCAAGCATGGACTGAGCATGGGAGCCAAGTGATCCTCCTCAATTCAAGAGGCATGGTCCCCGAGGCCAGAGCCTTGGCAGCCCCGACGTATGCTGAAGCGGAGTCAGTGCATATCGCATTGACCCATTGCGGCCCACCGAACCTGAACTCGTGGAAAATGGTGACCCATCTCCGAAGGGCGTGCTCAAAATCGTCCGGCTCCCCCTCTCGATTGATCGTCGTGTACATGACGACCCCTCGAGAGCCTGCGGCGAGGAAATTCATGATCGATCTTCCGTCTCGTGATTTCCTCCCGTCTAAGAGGATGGTGGCACCAGCCACCCAGAATGGCTGCCTCACCTCCTCCAACTCCTCGGCCAACTCTGCACGGTGGGTCTCCACCGCTTGCATGCTCGCAATCTCGTTGTGGCTAGGGAGCACAGCGTGCGGAGAACTGCCAGGCTGCTGAAGAAGCACCTACAGATATACCCTCCATGCCTCCTTGCGAAAGGCATTGAAGGAACCCCCGCTGGAATAAAGCCAACGAAGGAAGGCCTTCGTATGGCGAGCAACCCACTCGCCACCGTACACCTCATCCACCTTCTGCTGTCTAAGCCTCTTTCCAGCTTTGGTGGCAATCGAAACAGCTCCTCCGTCCTTCCTCTTGGAACCACCTCTCCCCCGTCAGACCCTGCGTAGGAGGCACTTGCCCCTTGCCCCTTCGCCGCTCCCAGTCCACAATCCTCTCCCCCGTGAATGGATCAAACTCTGGCATCCCCTCGTGTCCCGGGAATCCCTTCCGGGACGTGCCACGTGCCTCGCGATCGATGATGATGACGTCCTCCTCGATGTCACCGCCTCCATCCCCCACTGGCTGGTCGGGCTCACCACGTCCATCATCTCCTCCCCCCCCCACCTCCCGCGGACGCTGCACCGCCTCTCCTCCCGTCGCACCACCGGCCCTCAGCACATCAAGTCCACGCTCCGCTGCATGCTTGGAAACCCTCTCCATCTGGTCGGACTCCAAGTTCGGTTGAGTTCGTTTTCTGATCTCGTACAAGGCCTCATCGGTGACGGCCTTGCAGTACTTGGTCTGGACAAAGTGCCTCGTTGCTTGGAATAGAATCCCCTAGAATACTTCGTTGCAAAATGTGCAACTCAGCATCATCGCCCGCTTGTGGTCGACCTTCTGGCCGACGACAAGGTACCGATACATAGGGGAATTTGCCCTGAACGAGTCTTGCACATCCTCTGAAGCGGCTCATGCTCGCGCCGCTGTGCCCTCCCCATCGCGAGTGTTCCGTTCGTCGATCTGAACCGTCGACCCGGAGTCTTGTCAACCCTTCGAAATCAACCCCCAAAACGTCTCCCAACCTATGTCCGCAGGGTCCAGCTCGGATGGCAGCCGTATATACGGCCTCGTCCGCGACCGACCTGGTCCGCGCTGCGGGCCCGAATTTAGTAATTTACCATATTTTTTCTGAATTAAATAATGGGTAAAACAATATATATATATAGGGATTTTTAATCCCTACAACCCTTTTTTTTTTTTTTTTGGAAAAAGATAAGTTTTTAGAATTATAAAAAATAAAAAATAGAGAAGGTGGAGAAGAGAAATCGAAAAAACAATTTTAAAAAAAGCTCTTTTTGGGGGGAAAGGTTTTT